AGTATCCGCCGGAAAGAGCGTTTGCCTGGGCAGCTACAAGACTAGCCTCGTAGCTCCCAGGTTTGAGAGTGACAAGTGATTATAGCTCCGTTAGATGCAGGTACGATGATTCCTGACACAGGGATTGAAGACAGTGCATGCAGTCTGTTTTCACACCTTGTTAGTGAGGTGTGAACATTCTAAGTAAATGATCTAAATGGAGTGCCGGGGTGGTCTGGCACACGTGGCTCCGTGCGCCGGAGCGCCCCGGAGTGGTTAAAAAAGGTATTTTGACGGCTTTACGGTCAAAATTACAGAAAGGGGAAAATTAAAAAGGGGGAACACAAATTCTAGGAGGGCACATCCACACATAGAAATAGGGCAATTCATAGGTAGGTAGCGGTCCCAACACAGTATATAAATATTCTCTCAATACCACCAATACGCAGGCCATGGGCATAGGGCTGTCTCACCTTTCACTGAACTCCCTGCGAAACAACTTCTCCTTTGAGATGGAGTAAGGACTCCATCAAATATTTAGGCCTGACAATAACGAAAAATTCTACAGACTTCTACTCGGCCAATGACATCTCCACTTGGAATAAATGCCGCTCTCTGTTGCACAAATGGTAACCCTTATTTCTGTCCTGGTCCGAGCGCATAATAATGGTGAAAATGTCGATACTCTCCAGGCTTCAATATTTATTCCAGACACTCCCAATTGAACTACCCCTGAAGTACCTCAAAACGACCCAAGCGGAACTTATCAAATTGATCTGGGTGGGAGGCAGATCCAGAGTAGCAAGGAGCCTCATGCAAGCCCCCGTAAAAATTGGCAGATTGGCAGTCCCTAACATACAGACCGACTACCATGCTTCCATTTTGGCGACCTCTATACCCCACTTCCTCACCCACCCAAACCCCTAATGGGTCTCCTTTGAAAATAAACTCTTGCACCCAACAGACCATTCTACTCTGATGTACTCTACCTTAACCCCTTAGTGACCAGGCTTTACTTCGCTCTTTCCCCCATCAAACCTTGTTAAGTGGCCTGGGATATGGGGGACACATGGAGATCCGATAACCCTTGATTATGCAGCTATGTAACCTTATAATTCTCCTATAAAACCCAAGTCAGGTGAATACATTCCTGGTATACCTGTACTAAACCCATACCTGCCATCAGGGTCGCCACCAGAAATTTTGGGGCCCCCTAACTCAGCTCAGGGTCTGGGCCCCCTGAGGCCCGCCTTCAAATACCGCCCACTGGGCCCGCCTCCAAATACTGCCCACATGAATACACACACAATGATACAAAAGGACACAGATACATACTAACAGACACACATACTGAAACAGACATACATGCATGCATGAGGACATAAAGACACACACATACCTCATAATGGCATACATTTATAATGTCATACAGACATCCATACACACACACGTTCATAATGATATGCAGACATACATAGACCTACAGACACACATATAGACATGCATACAGACACACACACACAGCTCATTTTCCAGCCACCCTCCTGTCTCTTACCTTTTCTTTGCAGGAGGGTGGCTGGGGATTATGGGAGTCACTGGCGCGCGTGCTCCTCCCGCGCGGAGTGAGCTGGGAGGAAGTGACCACTTCCTCCCAGCAGCACTTGCAGCTGCTTTTTTTTTTTTTAAAGGGGCCCGGTCGCACTATACCACGGCGCTGACCGGGCCCCTGAAGATATATGGCCCATCGGGGGGCCCTAAGTGTGTGGGTTATGGTTGTCCGTTATGGTTGTCACCCCCTGATGGCGGCCCTGCCTGCCATGCCTCGACTGAACTCCTTGCTAAAAGGCCAAATATTAACAGAGTACTGTCTAATATCTGGGCTTCCACTTTAAGTACTTAACCCTATTGGTCTCATCTAATGATGATCCCAATAGAGAAATAGGATGGATAACTGATGATGCACCATATGCAGACACACACTACCCACACACTTAACCGAAGGTATCCACACACACCCACTTCCCAGTAGCGGGATCTCCAATCCACAGCGCAAGTCCAAGATTCACACACACCAGTACCACATATCTATAGCTTACCTCTGGAGTTAAGTAGACACCTGGATGTTCAGGTTCGCCGTGTTTGGCCGAACATCGGCAAAAAGTTAGAGTTCGGCCTCAAACACGAACCCCATACTTTTGGGCACTAAAATAGCTCTAAAACAAAAGTCCTGGAAAGGGCTAGAGGGCTGCAAAAGTAAAATGGGGGTAAGAGTAGGACAAGTGCTCTGCAAACAATTGGGGTAGCCCCCAAAATCTTGGGACATATAAAAAAAAAAAAGAAAAGAATAAGTGCACTTAAGTATAACAATGGCTGCGTAAGGCCGGTATAAATGTCTATTCTGCACAAGGTACAGACAAGTCTGGTGGGATCCATGCCTGGTTCATTTTAATAAACGTGAGCTTGTCCACGTTGGCTGTGGACAGGCAGCTGCGCTAGTCTGTGATAACGCCCTTTGCCATGCTAAACACATGTTCAGACAATACACTGGCTGCAGGGCAGGCCAGCACCTCCAAAGCATAAAGGGCAAGCTCAGGCCATGTGCCCAATTTGGAGACCCAGAAGTTGAATGGGGCAGACCCATCAATCAGTACGGGTAGGCGTGTGCACACATACTGTTCCACCATGTTGCTGATATGCTGCCTCCTGCTAAGACGTTCCATATCAGCTGGTGGTGCTGGTTTTTGTGGCGTGCTGACAAAGCTTTTCCACATTTCGGCCATGCTAACCCTGCCTTTGTTTTGGATCAAAGAAAACTTTGATTATTTGTCTATCTACACCTTCCAAATTGATTAATTAATGCGTGCACGCTTTCCCTAGAAGTAATTCACACCGGAGACAAAGTTTCTGATCAGTGAAAAACCCAGGAATGCTTTATTCCCCGGAGGGGGGGCTCCTTCTTAAAGCAAAAATACGTCACAGTTTAAACATACAGTATACATTCACCAATTGGTTAACAGAGAAAGGGGGCTCTTGTTTAAGCCCCCCTACAGAATGGAGCCTTTTAAGGTGCCATTCATGCCATTCATGTAGTGTCATCATTACACACTTTTGGATACACGATGGGAGGGGGAGTGAGTGGTATCTATCAGTTCTAAACCAATGATCCTCCATTTAGCTATATATGGCATATAGCTGTTAACTGGCACAAAGGTAGTGGGGGAGGGGAGGCCAGCAGGATGTGAGGAATTTACATAGTAAACAGCAGCTGACCACATTGTAGGGGGGGAAGGGAATATTTACTCTAGAAGCCAGTTTTAACATAGTGAACAGAGAATAAATAGACATTAGTAAATAGCCATTTTATTTTAATTCATCTGTCCATAACAGTCCCCCTTAAAATGGCAATTTTTACTAAAACTACTATCTCTCATTCTAATACTGTCCCTATAGAAAAATAACAAAAGGCTATCTTGCACATCTGTCTGAACAGGCCTCGAACACTTCACTGCGCGGGTACCCCATAGCAGCTTGTCCACTACTTCTCCCGTGGCAGACTTCTGCCCGTAGAGACAGACGCTATCCCTAAATGTCCTTAAGAGGAAGTAGCTGTTGATTTAGTGCGGTGGGACTGTAAGGGTGTATGTGGTGTATCACGGTCGATATCGTCAATCTCTTGGTGAAGGAAGGTCGGGGTGGTCTGGTCGATTGCCTGATCAACTGTCTTTTGTAGGCATTTCTTAAGACAGGGTAACACACAACAAACAAGAAGAGCGAGGATGATCGTTATTAAAATGGCAACACCTATTTGGGCCAGAGCACCTTGCCATTCAGACATCCATCCAAACCATCTTTCCCATGGATCTGTGGCCCCAGAATTTCGTTTCAGTTCATTGGACAAACTCTTTAACTTTTCTATTGCCAACGTTACTTTACCATTAGGGCCTGTATTATCTGGAATATAGGTACAGCATGTCATGGTGTCTGGGAGTATTTTACATACTCTCCCTTTTTCTGCTAAAATCATTTCCAAGCTTATTCTATTCTGGAAGGTCATCTGAGAGATAGTTTGTAACCGCCCTATCCCACCATATATCCCATAACAAGTATCGTTCCCGGGCTATATAGTAATGCCTTCGTCTGGGTTAATATTTTTAGTAATGATTGGGTATTAAGTTTCCATGACTCGCATGCTGACCGCTTAGGTTTAAATACAGTGTAGAGACTTAAAACGCATACTTCATATCTGGAGGAAGGTTCAGGGATACTGTACCTGGGTGAGGCCTCGCTCCTCTGCAGACATAGCAGTTAGACTTGTTATGTTTAGTAGCATTGTATTTCATCCATTCAAGTCACAAGTTAGTGTCAGAGAAACCTGTCTCTACAGCCCTCTTATCCTCAAATATGGGATGACTACCATGTCTTTTAAAGTCCTAATATGTGGTTTGAGGGGATTAACAGTCATGTGTGTGGCACCTACCCATTCAGCTGAGTCATACATGTCCTGTAAGAAAAAGGTCTCCTGTTTATTGTATAAACCTCTTCCCTTCCAATTCAGATTTTATTAGCCGTAATGCTTGGGAGAATAGATTCAAACTTAGTTTCTTACCTTAAAATTATTTGGTACCCCCCTTGACACCCCTATGGCATTAATATACATATATATATGTGTGGGTAAAACCACCCTTTATAGGGGTACTCCTTTTTGTCCTGAAGCATGAATGAGGTGTGTCAAGAGTACCTTGGGGATTGTCATGTGTTATGTGTATGGACATAATAACCTAGGCTAGGGCACATTTACTTATTCTTAGAAATCTTGTCTCATGCTACCCTAGTACTGGCAGATTCAGATCATTTAAACATTCAATATTAATATCACCACAAACTCAAGATAAGCAGATGATCTTGAAGAAGCTTTGACTGTGCGTATGGCACCTCAGACGTGAGGGCTGCAGGGTAAGGAGTATGTTTGTTTCTCTTTAGTTTCACGAGGTCCCCTTTTGGGGTATTCAGCTTTCCATCGATGGCAGGTGGTCAGGCATTATTATGGCCATCAAAACACCCACTTGTTGATATTTATTTATTTATTTTCAACAAGTATCTTTGTTCTCTAAGAATGGAGTTTCAAAAAGGGTTGTCAAGATCAACAAATGTTACTTCACATGATGCAGAGGCAGGCTTGATTCTGGAATGATGAACCCACGGGGTGATCTCTGTATCTTTCACGGTGCACTACTCAGCATGTGGTCTTGGTTATCACTTTGGTGGCTGGATAGGCCTCTGGCCATCCTGAAAACATGTCTGCTATAATTAGTGCATATTTGAATCAGCCATTCTTTGGCATTCTGGCGACTTGACTCCTCTGGAAGAGATAATGAGGTTTGGCTAGATACTTGGGGCTTTCATCCATTCTTCTTGAGTTGCCCTTGGCACAAATGGCACAAGATTTACAGTAACTGTTGGTCAGAGAGGCAATTCCTGGTACTTCAGAGTATTTATTGATCAAAAGAGTTCATGAGGGTTCTGGACAGATGCTCCGTAGGCCCACTGGACCACTGCTGAGTATATGTTCTTGGGCAAGTATAACTTGAGATTGTTGAAGTACAGCCTGTCTTTAAGAGTTGCCCCTTTCTGTTTCCAGCTTGTGGTTTGTTTGTTTTTTCTTTCTTTCCAGGGTCAGTAGCTTGCTTGTTATTCCTTCGGGAGCTTGATGTCTGTGGGTAGGATCTTACATGGTGAATATGGGAGTTTCTTCAGCAGACACTTTTCTGTCCACTTCCCTTAGTGCACTTACAACTTTTTGAACAACTTAGTCAGCCAGAGAGCTGCCACATGCTTCCTCTGAGTTCAGTCTTCCTTCAGAGATCTTGCATGGTGTGATGGGAGTCTATAGCTCAGCTTCTTGTGCAGACATTGTTGAGGTGAGATACTTGGTCCACTGTAGTGACAGCAAATCCGGAACAGAACATAAGAAAAAGGCTAAAAAAAAAATAATAGTCAGTGTCTTATCATTTCCCCCCTTGGGAAGTGGCAGAAGAGTGGCCAGGTAAATAGAGTATCATCCCTGCAGGGTGACATTATCCTGCACAGAATTCGTCCATCACAAGGAGAGGTGGGATATTGCATGGAAAGTCTCAGGTAACCAGGGCAACATTCGACACCAGAGCCTTAACCTGTTAGGGAATAGTAAGAGCTTGGACAGGCTTTGGGGCCTGTATAATTCAGGTAAAGGTATTGGGGGAACTAGCTAGGACCCTTGCCTCTTGGTCAGGTTTCACTGTGTGGAACAAAATGAATAATAAGGTGATAGGGGCCTGCAAGTGGGGGAAGGACATCTGCACCTAGCAGATTAATTGGACAGGTGAAGGTAACCACAAAGCAAGGCTTAGTTAACAGGCTACTCCAAGGAGAGCCATCTACACTTATGCAGGAGACAACAATGTTAGACAGGAATGAGGAGTCAGGCAGGCCTTGCTTGGTACAAATAGATGTCATGTGGCCTGCTATACAAGGCTGCATATAGTTATTGGGCATGGGCCTTACTATGTACTAAAACTTAAGTTAAAAGAAAATTTGGGACAACCTGAAGTGATGCTTCTCCACAGATGCTAACTCATCGTTGATGACATTGTTAATACAGGTAGCCTGATCAGCCAATTTATCTTAGGCTTAAACAAGTCACACCATGTAGTGGAATGGGTCATTAGGATTCGGGAAATTCTACAGTAAAAGGGCATAGTAAGGATGTACGCGATGTTACTTTAGGAGTAGGCGTGGCTGTGGATAGGGGGAAATCAGCCTTATCCATTCCCATATATTATTCCTTTTGTCTTCAGTATATCCAAACCATGTGTATGTCCAGGCGTTGCAATATACAGTAATCCATTATCAGTCATGATAGTAAAATCTCATTCTCATTAATTAAATCAAAGATTTTAAATCAACCTCAGAAGTAACAACATTGTTTTTACCTTCTGTAAAATGATTGGAGTTACTGTATAATTGCATACACCCAATATAACATACATTGCATGTTCCTCACTGCTACATTAGTGTATTTCATTCTGCCATATTTGCAAACTTGATGTACATTTTTATTTTAATTAATTAACCTAATACTTTCTTAAAATACATATAAAACAATGAAAAAACAGTTCAGACTAACATTTCATTAAAACAAACTAACATAGAACTCTATTCTTGGCTGTTCTTAATTCTGGAATCAGCCTGTGTACCTCTGTTGGCAGACATATCCATGCTCATTCCCTAAACTGATCATATCTCTTGAAGTTATCTGATTCTTATAACTTTCTGTGTTACGCTGCATTGCTTGTCTGTCTCCTAATTTCGATTTAGCTAAAATTGCTTTTATTTGTCTGATTATAAGTTTACAAGGAAAGGCTTTAATTGATTTATCTCCACATGTATTTTCTCTGTCAAAATTTTCAATCAACAAATTTAATTTCTCATTTGCTTTTGATTTGATATCTCGGATAAAATATCTGCAAGATCTTAAATAATGTTGTTTATTGCACCAAAAACAAATAACTTTAGGAGTTATATTCTGCCCTATATTATCAACTGCCCTATATTTAGTTGAATAAATTGGGAGGGGCTCAGCTGTCTGGAGGGGCTCAGCTGTCTGTATCACTCTACACTCTGTCCTAGAAGAAGAAGAAGAAGGAGGGGGACGGGGGCTGTAACATCTGCACTTCTTTCTCTGCCTAAAGCCACAAGTCGTTTTAACCCCTTCATTCTTGGTTTCCCTCCTTAAGTTATCCAAGAACAAAGCTACTTCTGTCAAAGTGCTTTTTTCTCTAGCTACCACAATTGCAGTTGAATCTAGATCTTGAATTTTTTTCACAAATTCATTAATTAACTGATCTTCAGAAAAATCAGCAACAAGTCTATATGCATTTTCAAATTTTACAAGAAAACTAAATATATCCTCCCCCTTGTGTGGTTTTAGTTTTTCCAACATTTCAGTGTCTGCAAAATCATTCCCTGTTGTTAATTTTATTAATTGTGTTAATCTGTCTCGCTTATTTCCATATATTATTTCACCATTGTCCTCAAATTTTACAATCGCGGTCAGCCTACATGCCATTTGAGTCGGCAGCCATATTTGAAATAGTCTATTCCTTTGTACGTCATTTAGGCTGTATTTGTCTAAATTAGACTCAAACATTTCAGCATTAGTGAATGCATCCACTGACGTGTCATAAACTGGAATACATTTCACAATTTTCATTAATTGTTCATGGATCTTCAAATTAAGTTTTGCAGCTCTGTCTTGAAATTTATATTTCTGCAAATCACTCTGTGAGGATACATTTTCAGTATCTATTGGTTCTGGGATTAGATTCTGTGCCTTTATTTTTCTTGTATTAACACACACTCGTGCTTAACTTCATTTCTAAGCTGGCAAATAAGATCATTTCTTAGTTCAACTCTATCCTCTAATTCACAGACTGTTTCTGACAATGTTCTCTCTGTTACATTGTTACACTGTTCATTTAAATCTGATTTGTCTTCTGTTAACCCATTCAAATCTATTTCTTTTTCTGCTGATTCTAAATTTTCTTTACCTGTATTTCGTTTACAAATCAATGCATTGTAAGTACAGACTAGTTTCATAACATTTCTGATCTTTTTTTTTTTTTTTTTTTCTTATTAACAAACAATTTCTTGTCAATTTCACTATTGGCAATTTCACATTGTGTGTATAAAGATTGCCACAAAACAGCATCTGAATAGCTGCTATTAAATGCAAACTGCAATTTACTTTTCTCTGCGATATCATTTATAAATTCCACAATTCATTTGTTCCAACAAAATCTAACTTTCCTTATTCCAACATGCCAATAACCTCTTACTTAACAACATATACAAGATTACACAAAGTTCCTAACTAGGTTATTCGTCCAGCAAATATACCTTGTTTCCCTCACATTCCTCACTGAGTTTACAAGCATTTCACCCATTCACCCCCCCCCCTGTAGCCAATACTCATAGCAGTCAGAGCAAGAGAAAGCAACAAAGAAGGAGGGGGGAGGAGGGAGGAAGACTTGCAAGCACAAAGTTTTTTAACCATGTGATTGCCTAAGCACAGCTCTCCTTAGGACAAAAGATAGAATAGGAGAGTAACGATACAAATTGTATAGATTACAATTAACATATATGGTACCCAACAAGACATACACAGACAAAAGCACAAAATACAGATGTAATTAAATCACAAAGTTCTTAAAATAAATGCCGGCTTATAATAAATCAAATCACACACACAGAAGCACTCAAGCACATAAACCGCTCCTTTACCAAAGCTTAGCTATTTAAACTCTTGACCGAGTCTTAATAAAACAAAGGAACCGCCAGGTTTTTTACCAAACGAGGCCAAAACATCACTCACTAGCTTCTTTACCAAAGCTTAGCTAAAATATTTTTTTTTTTTTATTTATTTATTTTTTAATTATTTTATTTATTTATTTTTAAACTCTTGACCGAGTCTCGCAATAACTTCTTTACCGAAGCTTAGCTAAAATAAATATAGAGCCAGGGGTTTTCCACCAAACCCGAACTTGGCTAAACCTGCAAGTGCTTAACCACACTTGGCAGCATTATGTAACAGTATTAAGCAAGTAGTAAAACAGATTCTCAAACAGACACTTTCACACATAAAACTCACACTCAGGACTCAGGCTGTAGATAGACAAGTGACAGGTTCTATATAAAAGGGGACATTCGGGCATATATATATTACCTGTCTGAAGACGTTAAACACCGGAAGCCGAATGTGAAGGCACGGAGAACAAGAGAAATCCAAAGAAAGGAAAATATAGGTAAGTAACTCATTTACCATATGCAGAGGTGATCAGGCTCCGTTTCCAATCTCTGGGAATCCTTTGCTCTCCTGTCTTGGGATCTGACGGCTGCCTTAGTAACGTATCCCTTAAATGCCCGCATTCTCCACCAAATTGTTTTGGATCAAAGAAAACTTTGATTATTTGTCTATCTACACCTTCCAAATTGATTAATTAATGCGTGCACGCTTTCCCTAGAAGTAATTCACACCGGAGACAAAGTTTCTGATCAGTGAAAAACCCAGGAATGCTTTATTCCCCGGAGTGGGGGCTCCTTCTTAAAGCAAAAATACGTCACAGTTTAAACATACAGTATACATTCACCAATTGGTTAACAGAGAAAGGGGGCTCTTGTTTAAACCCCCCTACAGAATGGAGCCTTTTAAGGTGCCATTCATGCCATTCATGTAGTGTCATCATTACACACTTTTGGATACACGATGGGAGGGGGAGTGAGTGGTATCTATCAGTTCTAAACCAATGATCCTCCATTTAGCTATATATGGCATATAGCTGTTAACTGGCACAAAGGTAGTGGGGGAGGGGAGGCTAGCAGGATGTGAGGAATTTACATAGTAAACAGCAGCTGACCACATTGTAGGGGGGGAAGGGAATATTTACTCTAGAAGCCAGTTTTAACATAGTGAACAGAGAATAAATAGACATTAGTAAATAGCCATTTTATTTTAATTCATCTGTCCATAACAATACTTCTTCAAAAAATGGCCTGTGTGTCCTCCCTTTTCAAGAGGATATGCTTTTTGGAAAATATCTGGATGAATGTATTAAAAGGGCAGTGAAAGGGTGTAAAGCTTTCCTTCCTCAAGATAGACGACCTACAAGATCTTTTCCACGGGATAAGGAATTTAGACGATACAGACCTGATGAAGAGTTCTCCAGATTCCAATCTTGGAAAGGGGTATTTTCCTCCTCCAAAAGCTCTCAGGGACGAAGTACCAGTACCAGACAATCAAAACAATTCTGATGGGATGCCAGTCTAGCCCTTGGGAGTAGGAGCAAGACTTCACAACTTCGAGGTCTGAGCTAAAACGATACAAGACAAGTGGGTGCTGAAAATCCTAAAGTACGGGTACTCCCTGGAATTCTCCACTATCCCTCACACTTGATTCATGTCTACAAGCATTCATCAAGAAGCAGAGAAAGCAGCAGTCATTGATTGTTTTGTAAGAAGTTCCATTATCAAAGCCGTCTCCCCAGTGGACTGGTTAATCTCCATAGATCTTCGATATTCTCATTTTCACATTCCAATTGCTCCACCAGACCAGAAGTTCCTGAGTTTTGCAATTCATCACCAACATTTCCAATTTTGTGCTCTTCCCTTTGGTTTGAGTACAGCTCCCAGAACTTTCTCAAAGATCCTTGTTTCATTAATAGCTCACATCCGGATGGAAGGCATATCGATATACCACTCGATGATATCCTGATCCTCTTATGCAACAGGGATCAGCTCCTTCTTCATCGAGATCAAGTTCTCCTTTAACTTCAGAATTTCGGATGGATAATAAATTACAAGAAGAGCCCGCTGTCTCCATCTCAGATAATGGTGTACCTAGGTGCGAGATTCGACATGATACAGTCACAAGTCTCCCCATCTATGGACAGAGGACATTGTATCCAGTCTAAAATTATCCTTCTTTCCCTCTTTCCTTCTTATCCTTCTTTCCCTCAACTCCATTCCGGCAAGAGAATTCATGAGCGTTCTGGGAAGATTGTCCTCTACCATAGGCCTTACAAGGTGGGCCCAATGGCATATAAGGATTCCTCAAGAAGGATTTTTATCCCAGTTTGCAAAGAAAGACCAAAACCAAGCAATTTTTCTGTCATCAAAGATCAAAAAGGAGCTATCATGGTGGTTGATCTATCAGAATGTGTATTAAGGATTACCTCGGAACAATATTCATTGGGTCAACTTAACTACGGATTCTTTTCAATTAGGTTGGGGAGCACATCTGAATCTTCATCATGTCCAAGGTCAGTGGAAAAACCAACGGTATCATCAATCTTCAAATGTTTTAAAGTTACAAGTAGTCTTCCAAGCTCCATTTTCCTTCACTAAAGCAAAGCTGGGTAAAAGTAAGGATAAACAATACTTTCGCGGTGACCTACATTAACCACCAGGAGGGTACAAAAGCACACTTTTAATGAAGGTTTTGACTCCCTTGATGTCCTGGGCAGAAAATAATTTGAAGGGAATCAAGGCAGTGTATCTCCCGGGCAAGAACAATCAAGTCTCAGATTTCTTAAACAGAGTTATTCTGGACCCCACAGAACGCATAGTCTAGAAGTGGGGTCTTCCTCGAGTAGACCTGATGGCCACAGCAAAGAATCACAAAGTGGAAAGGTTCTTCTCGCGTTACTTTGACCTTTGACAGAGGACCAGGATGCTCTTTGTTGTGAGTGGAAATTCCATCTGGGGTATGTTTTTCCCTAAACTCCCCTGATTTTCCCCTTTTGAGGAGGATCCTTCAAGAGCAAGTGACGATTCTGGCAGTAAACCCTTGTTGGCCCAGATGCCCATGGTTTCCCCTTCTACAGAAGCATTCTCAGGACCTCCCTCTGAATCTCTCAGATCAGCATCTTCTTTTGCAGCAAGGATCAGTCTTTCACCCTTCTCCTCATTCTTTAAATTTGATGGTATTGAAATTGAAAAGCAACACCTCTACGGCAAATATTTCTCTTCTTAGCTAATCAGTACCCTGCTTAACGCTAGAAAGAAATCTACTTTGTCAGCTTATTATCGGAGATGGGACATCTTCTGTAGCTGGTGTATGGCACATGAAATTTCTCCTCTGTCCCCCAGTATCAGTGATGTCCTGCAATTCTTGCAAGATGGATTTGATAAGGGTGTGAGCCTCAGTTCTTTGAAAGTACAGATTTCAGCTATTTCTATTTTTATTTTCTTCGTTGTTTATCTTCTTTCTGAAATAAGGAAATCCTCAAATTTGTTCGTAATTCCTTCAGGATACAATAAGGGTCAAGCTGCTTCTTCTACTTCTATTGGCCGATGGATAATCTCAGCCATTAGATCAGGCTTACACAGCTTCCGGTGTTCCAGTTACACCAGGTCTTCAAGCTCATTCCACCAGATCATTGGCCTCTTCATGTGCAGCTGCAGCCAACATTTCTCCAGACCGCATTTGTTCAACAGCAACATGGTCCTCATTTTACCACAGAATTTGGTAGAAGTGTCCTTTCTGCTTCCTTATAGTTAATTTGTAAATAAAGAGTTTTGGTTTTGCAATGACTTTTGCGTTTTTTGTTGTTTTTTTATTTTCCCCTCCCTTGTAACTTTCGGCTTGGCTATAACCCATGTATAGTGCTGCCATGGATATATCTGGGGAAAACAGAGAATTTACACCATACTCACCAATATTTTCTTTTCCTGGATATAAGCCATGGTAGCACCACGGTCTCACCCTTTCTAATTTTCTTTTTTTCTCTACGTGGCTTTGAATTAAGATTGAAGGGACAGGGGAGGAAGTCTCTTTTATTTATTAATTAGGAGGTGGTTCCTGTCCAACTGAGAAGGGGAGGCGCTATACCCATACGTAATGCTGCCATGGATTATATCCGGGAAAAGAAAATATCGGTGAGTATGGTGTCAATTTTCTGTTATGTGCAGCAGTTCATAGTGAAACTCTGCACATACAGACTCTAGACACCACGACCACCTAATATTGTTGAAGTAGTTATGATGCTTGGATTAATTTTTTTAAGTACCAATTCAGAATGCGTAATACTGGTTTGCTAATATGCACAATACTTTGCAAACTTACTTTAGATTATTATTTGCAACAATTGTTACACATATTTAACATTTATTTGATTTAACAGTAAAATAAATATGTTAAATGTGACCTTTTGTATTTCCATCACTGTGAAAACACATTGCACAAACTGACAAGCTAACATTGCTTCGAGCAATCTTTATGGATTTTATTATGCTATATTGTATTAAACTGAAATTAGCTTTCTTGTCTTATTGCATAATAATTCATTATATGTTCTTAATAGGTGATTTTGCACATATCACGTTTCTACTAAACAGTGATCATCCATCACAATAATGACAATTTAGCATAAATAGTTTATAGTTGACATAGGGATAAACATTTACATCAGCCCCATTGTCTTAAATTGAATTAAAAGCAGATGTAAGGATATAAATTGTGATCAATACGTACTTTTTCTAAATGTCAATAAATCTTAGTGCAGCAAATAATTATGTCACATATAGTATCAATCATCTTGACTTTTATTAATTGCCCATCTGCCGTGCCAAATATATATTATGTTTCTATATCATCTCTACAGAAGAAATCCCTTATTTGTGGTATGTTATAGTACATTTTATATCGATTTATCTCATTATGTAATACTGAACCAACAAGCTAAATCAA